GGATGATGTCTGTTCGTGGCAACTCTGGTCTTTTCTACGTGTCCTCTATTCTTGTATATAAGTGCGCCAGATAAAGCGAAATTAATTAATCGGAACTGAAATAGCAGACAGGGAGATTTAAGATATAGACAGATAATCGAGTCAAGCCGTAAGTAAAATGCGTAAATCATTGTGAATTATAGTGTGTGTTTAAGTTAGAGTGACTGTGGAAATTAAGTGTATTGCAAAGTTGTATTGAGAAATAATAAACTAGTTTTATTTAAGAAAGGACCTGTATCGCTGAAGTTCTCGGAAATAATATCTACGAAAAATTAAAAAACGAACACAGACGTAACAATATCATTAAACTAACTTATGCAGCTTATTTCATGAGAAGTTAAGAGACTTTTTGTTAAGTTGTAACTGAAACTGTTATTACACTTACAGGTTGCGAAGTTCAAGATCCTGGCATCACACTATACATAGCCACAGAATCTATCATTCACCATTCCTTGGCAAACAAGAATAAGTACAGTTTTAGTACTAAGAGAAAAGGTGTAAACTCCACGAATTTTTGTAATAAGTTAGCTATTTTCTATCATTTTCAATATTTATTAGCCTGTGTAGCGCTTCACTAAATCAAAACCTTCAATGAACCACTAGGCGAAATATTTACATTCTAAAACTACTCATATAAATATGGTGTTGTTTTTTACTATGGAAAGAATTTATACTCAAACACTAACATTATTTTTATGTCAACATCATGTATCACCCCTTGAAACCATTGGTGTATAAGGATATTTTTGTGACAAAAAAGCATAATACCAAAAGGGAAAAAAGAAATGTTTATGTTTCGGCTCTTTTAACTTTTTTTTTCTTTAACATTTCCAATATATCTATATATATTTATATATCTTTAAGTAAATGACAACATTTTAGTTATGTGTGAGTTACAATCTGAGTGATAATAATAACTGCGTATTTTGGGTACCTATGTTTTATGCAGACTTTTCTTCGGAAGCTACAAAGAAAGTAGAACGTTTGAACAATATGTTTGTTACCAACGTCAGAATCCTATTTTAAGAGGCACAAAAAGAGTTGTGTGTTTTAACTTCATACAAGGAATAAAGCAAACATACAGAGGCATTGCATTACTTAAAAATAAAATTAAGTAAATTAGTTGATAGTTGTTGAGAAAGCTGATTTTTTACTTAACTGAAATAATAGTTGTCGATATTTCAGTACAGTTTTCGTAATTATAACTAGACGAGAATCAACAGCCACTTGAACATCATTTGGGATGATGAGCTTATATGTATAGTTTGTTTGTTTTGAATTTCGCGCAAAGCTACACGAGGGCTATCTGCGCTAGCCGTCCCTAATTTAGCGGTGTAAGACTAGAGGGATGGCAGCTGGTCATCACCACCCACCCCAACTT